TTTTTCATTTTAACTTCTGTTATGTGTTTTACTTCATTATGCAGCGCTTTGTACGTTGGGTTGCCTGCATTCTTTGCACTTAGCGCCGACTACATGTACTAGTGCTTTACACACTCTACTCGTGCTTTGCTAGCGCCGCAAGCACTCGCTTTGCTTGGTTCAGTTGGTTCACTTGCTTTAGTTGTGTTTTATTGCGCCGTTACGATGGCGGCCCGTAACGACTTTAATTAAATCGTAATTAAGAACGCAATATAGTTATATTAAATGCCTCGCGTCGCTTACAGCTCACACACCGCTTGCACGGCCTGCAAAAGTGAGGAGAGCAAGAGTAGCTTTAGAATGTGTTTAAATGTTTGTGAGGTTAGACTTGCGTGTACAACTGGTTGCAGCTAGTTAGTACTACTTGTAGGCGTGGCTAGTTGTGACTAGCATTGCCTGAAGCTGCGTTCACAACTTGAATGTCGAAAGACAATGAGTGAAATTAAGTTTTCTCTTGGAAGCACCACTAACTTCTTTCGCGCTAAGTGTGGAAACGTGGCTTGCGCCATAAATGTCAGAGTTTAACGCTTTAATGACAGTTATGAACGCCTGGCAACCGTAATGTGCGCTGAAAGTGAAATAAGTGATATAAAACACTTTGATATTTATTAAATTACAACAAGCGTATAATTGTTTCGTACTTTCGCACTTACTTCGTTTATTATACTCATTTTACTAATGATTCTCATTACCTAATTGCAACTCATGAATCTGGAAAATCTGGTAGGTGGTGAGATTTGAGATTTATGTGACGTCATGTGACACATTTCACAAATTTCCTGCAGGGTTTGCAACGTGCAACGCCTCCGATTGTTATTGAATTCTCGGATGAGTTACGATTGTTTTTCGCTGCGCGTGCCAAAACGTCCGGCTTGAACACACCACCCATACATTTCATGCCATTTAATAAATTGCATATCATTGCTTTGCATAGAATTATTCTCGGAACAATAGAGGATTAAAAATCCTCTTAATGTGATAAACCCAAACAAAAACAAATGAAATAGTTCTTTAATTGTTTATTAGTCTTGAAAACCATAGAAGTTATATGGGCATAATAATATTGGTCAATTTAATTTTTGATTTTCTTAGAAATAGAATTATGTAGAATCGCTTACCCTTTTCAGTGCAGTCAGCAACACAATCTCGAACTATGGATCCTTCGCTCATGTATTTCTATAAAAAACAAAACAAAATGTTAATAAACATTTCTCAATTATGCATTACACAGCAATGCATCTATCGATTCATACATAAAACACATGTGTACGTCAGAAGTAAAGGCAAATGTTATATGCAACACATTATACTTGCATAGATAAAGTTCTCAGCTATGCATTGAATTGTACATTAGGTTGCATGTTATACTCAACATCTTTTGAAGTTTATACACATGTAAACACATATTTTGATGTTTTACCCTTTGCATTTTACGTCAGTACATGTATTTTTTATTATCTCAACGTTCAACTTTTTTTCACTTATATACATATACGAGTATTTTATATTGCGCGACTGTATCACGTTTCCTAGCTTTTCACATTCGCATATCACTCACTCGCGGAAACATTCAGCGCTCAACATTTTCACGAATTTACAAACGCAAAAACACATGTTCGAACACTGGGAACACGTCGGCATCGTTTCGGCAACTTGTTCAACTCGTCCATTTTACAAAATGTTAGCAAAGAAGAGAACATCCCTCTAACGCATTTCACATCAACTTTTTTCGCGCTCATTTTATGTTTAGCCATTTTTTGGTAGTTTTACTTTTTACGTTTCAACTTTGTACTTTTTGATGATGAACCACCGGATTGCGCAATGTTTGCGAGGGAAGTTAATGCCAGTTACGGCGAGTTACGACATGAACAGACGGAAGCAGATGTTCATAAATATACTACCGACAATTGTGATAACTGAAAGTACTATCTAAATGTACGAAAAAATTCAGTGATGGCTGATAAAATTTATTGAAATGAGAGTTTTAGTAATTTAGGTGTAAATTTAAAATTAATTCAAAAACCATTTAATTTTTTTAACTATGAACTTTTCTAAGTAGCATATGCAATCCAAATTACATATTCTCACCATTCCATGGGGAAGCGTGAAAATATGCTACCCAGCAATCATCTGCGGGGTATGGGTAGTTTTAAAAAGGGTTGTGCACGTCGGTAGGGTAGTTACGTGGCGCTTGACGGGCCTGAGCGCTTACGCAACCAATTTTTCAATGAAATTTCCGCAAATTTCCATAATTTCATCGTTTTCCACCACCGGTCTGCCGATGTCATCATACTCGTCGTTGCAATTTTTCACGCCGTGGCGAGTTTGAAATTTGCGAGTTTTTTGCTTCCCAAACGCAGTTTACGGTTAAATCCTCACTTTTTCGACCGGTTGGCTCAGTCTCAGGGGATTAATATTCATCGGAATATTGGCATTTGCAAAAATTTGCAAATATTTGCAACTTTAACAAGCATGAAAAACCCCTAGGGATTATTTTTGAGAATAAATAAAAGGCTAAATTTAAAAAATGTTTAACAAGCGAAGTTCAATTGATAAAAACATCGCATAAAATAAAATATTAAATTTTAATCTAGGGCACACTGTATATTCAATAAGAATCACTCAACTAAAAGGTAGGCAACCAAACCATCACCACTAAACTCACGTTAGTCAAGATGAGGGATGAAAAGCGGAGCGAAAGCAAACGTTTTCGATTTTCATTCTAATTTTCAGCCGCCCCGCGGCGACCGGCAGCCGCCATCGGGTACAATCCAAAGGTGAAAACTTGCACCCTTGCGCACTGGGGGTGGTTTTGGGTGGGTGGTGGCGGATGAAATTGCATAAATTATTCACGCCCGACCTCGACTACCAAACGCAGCGGCGTCGTGCCGTGAAAGTCGCGTAAGTCGTGACGCTAAAGTTTGAGCCAAGGGTTGAAAAATGAGAAGAAAAAAAGGAAGATGGGGTGGATGTAAGTGAAGTCGGTCATACGCTTGCTTTCGGGCTTATCAGCCTTAGAAATGTGTATTTATGAGTGAGAATAAAGAATAAAAAAGAATAGAAGGGCGAAAGATGACGGTTTTAATGCTAGTGCAAGTATATTTGGTTGCATATTTGAATAGCTACTATTACTTACATTTATAAATGATACCAATTTTAACCAGATGGGTATATTTTTTTGAAAACTAACAATTTAATACAACAAACGTATAAATCCAGTTTGACACTATAATTAATCCAATTTTTGAGGTTATTATTGGTTTGTGTGTTTGGTTGCCTGAATTTAAGGGCGCTGACAAATTGGAGGGCACAACAGAAGCATAATAAATCAGGGCGGATTAATTAATGTACACTTACGGATGCTCGACATGTTCACGCTCACGCACCCCTCAGGATAATTATATACAGTGTGTAAGAAATGAATAATTAAAATTAATAACAAAAATTTAGTTTCACCTCTTATAAATTTATTTTCCAACGAATAAACACACTGTACATTCACTAAGCTTCTATTTGGAGGTTTTTCCAAATTGATGTTTCGGTGTTAGACTATATGTGGGTTTTCGATTTCAATTTCGTTTTCGATGCAGGAATACCAAACTTGTATCATTCACGCTTCTCATGTTACTTTAGATCGACATAATATATTTAATGTACGCAACCCATTTAACATTGTGCATAGGCGTCTCATGAATTGAATAGCAAATGGCACTGAATAATGCGGAACATCGTCTGAGAAACGCATTTGTGTCGATTTGTCGATAATAAATTGAAGAAGAAATATTATGCAAATATTTTGCATTTTGGATGTCTTCGTATGCGATATTAATCTTTTTGCTATTTTCTTCCTTCAGCCTTTCATTTTGTTCGCCAAAGTTTGTGTGTTATATGGCGCATAGACGTTTATCATGTAATATTTGTTGTTTTATTATATTTCAAGCATATTTTATTTGGTAAACGAGTAAAGCTTTTAGATATATACAGTGTGAGCGAAATAATTTTGGAATATTTAGTTTTAAAAATGTTGCGCTATAAAATTTAAAATTAGGAATAGCCACATGAACACACTGTATTATTATTGTTACATGGCTTTAGCCGCTGCGCTCAAATACGTTCCGATGCGCTCGAAGGAAAAGCTCAAGCTCAGGCTAGAAAAGCTCGCCGAGCTTGAAAAGCTTTGCATCGGAAACGCCAGCGGTATTGAGATATCGACTTGTCTAACACGAATGCGAAAACACGAAAAGAATAGTCCGTCGGCGCAGACAATACGCAAATAAACGTCCAACCGTCTTCATCTTTTACCGCAACAAACAAATTTACATTCTTACACTGAGTTCTATATTAAAATTAAAACAAAAAAAAAGTGAACGAAAATAATACAAATACCTACATATAATTAAATTTTAATAAATATAATGTTTATATTTGTTATAATAGAGTGGTAAATATCTTTCATCCGACTGCAAGTGGATAATTTACAAAATTTTACAAAATTTCAAACAATAATTAAAACAATCATTAAAACATTATTATATAAAATATTATATAATTATTATATAAATTAAATGTCTTTTCCTGTGATTGAAATTAATGAATTGTGCATATTAAACTTATTGAATTGGAACTCAAAGATATCGACTCACGAACACTGAACGAAATCTCGATGTAAATTTGTTCCTTGTGAATCCGAAGGATCCGCATACGACCGCGCACGTACGCGCTGAAGGGACGTGATGCGCCCAGACTGGCAAAGTTTACTTTCTTTTCTTTTATTGCCAAAATATCGCGATTTCACTAGGAGTAAAAAACAGCCTGGTTGTTTTCAAGTCGACAAACAAGGCAAAATCAGTGGATTCTAAAAAACGATAAATAAAATAGAAAAGAAAACTTACATAGTAATATAATACCTATATTAATATCAATAATTTTCCAGCAAAAACTGAAATTATTACTTTTTTAGATTAATACTCACAATACAATATTTGTGATCCTTCGAAGGGCAATCAATCAACTCCATATAGGTGGAGTTTATACAGGGTGTGATGGAACCAACCCCATCATTGTACAGCCCGCACTTGAGGCATTGCAGTGCCATGCTGGAACCAATCGCCACTCCTAACACCATCAACGATAACAGGAAGCCACTTTTACCCATTGTGATTCGATGGAAACTTTTCAAGATAAGTTTATAAACTTTTTTGTCCCAGTTATTTATATTATGATAATGTCTATAAGTTTTTAAGGGTAATTTTATTGTTTGTTGGCGTATAAACTTTTCGCTGTCCGTTGGATAATCTTAGCAGGAAAATTTCACAAACGCGCAAAGTCGACAAAGTGACAGCAGGGTAGTAGCGCACCGGCCGCGGGTTGTACGACAACTAAGTTTTCGGATGCGCCCGAAATCGCGCGCTTCAACTTTGCGCGCCCGCCCGCGCATACCAAGCCGCCTCCGATATACTATCAAAACGGGGCTACTCACAGCTGCGGCAAACTGTAAGGGATACACGCCCACTTCTACACAAGTATGTATACAATTGTTTTATGTTTTTAAGAAAAATTATTGTTTATAATATAATTTCATAATGGCACTCTTCAGTTACGGAAATTAAATTTAGTTTTTCTTCATTTTGATTTAATAAAAATTTCCTTGTTATTTCTGGAATAACAGTGCAACGAGTGTTTAAGAATATTTGCGAGCGTTAAAGAATACTACACGCATGCTGGAATGTTTTCCTCTTTTCCTTGTTTTCTCTACTTATGGAGAGATAACAAGCATGCGGATTTCAGCAATGCGCGGAATGCACAAATGACGAAAACTTCTACGAGAACAAGAGGAAAATCTTTTGTTAAAACTTGCATCGCAATTTATTCTACGCACGATGAAAGAAAGGAATTTCAATTATTTACGTATTTACGTTTGCAGAAAACTGACGAAGGCGTGGAAAATGCTTACATCTGCAACATTCAAATTCAAATTTTGTGTCAGAACTATGTTGCAGGTAGTGAAATAATACTAATATTAACAAGTTATTTATTTTGACTGCGTCGCATTGCATTTTGAATATTATAATATTTTGGGTTTTAATTTTATTGGCATTTTCGTGAGATTTTTCTTTATTATATGTTTGTGAAAAATTGTTTAAAATAATGTTATAACAATTGAATTAACTGCATTAGTGGAAACTTTGTTAATTCTTGTCCTTTTTTTTTCTGTTTAGTTCATGAAGAACAAGTAAAATCAAGGCCCAATTGCTGGAAATTCTCAAAAATTGTCTACGAGTATAAACTCGATTCGTCTGATCTCGTGTGGTGTTTAGCAGAATACACCAGTATAAGACGATAAAATTCTACAGAAACCTACAGCTCCTTAGGTTGCAGGTATTCTCAGTTAGCTTCGACATCGCTAGCTGGCGCCACTTATATTAACATCGCCGCGGATAACGGACGCTACCTTACGCCAAATTTCAACCAAAAAATGAAAATGCCCCTTTTGTGTTTTCGATCCTCTAATTTTTGTGGTTTTAGGTGTCTAACGGGCGAACACGATGTTGTAGGGCAACCGTTTTTAATCAAAATTGTAGGTATTAAATTTTTTTATCGATTTTGTACATAATTTGTAGGTGCATCTTTTGGGAACCCAATAAAAATGTACTTTTTGTGTTTTCCGATCTTCTAATTTTTTTGATTTTAGGTGTCTAGCAGGACAACGCGATGTCGTAGGACAACCGTTTTTACACCTAATTGTAGGTATTAAAATTCTCTATCGCTTTTGTATACAATTTGTGGGTTTATCCTTTGGAAACTCTATGAAATTGCCCCTTTTGTGTTTTTTGATCTTCTAATTTTTGTGGTTTTAGGTGTCTACCGGGCGAACGCGATGTTGTAGGACAACCTTTTTTACAGTAAACTATAGGTAATAGAATTCTCTATCATTTTCGTATATAACTTCTTGGTTTGTCCCTTGGAAACCCTATAAAAATGTCTTTTTTGTGTTTCTCGGTCTTCTAATTTTTGTGGTTTTAGGTTTCTAGCGGGCAAAAGCGACACCCTAGGACAGCAGTTTTTACACTAAATTGTAGGTATTAAAATTCTCTATCATTTTCGTATATAACTTCTTGGTTTATCCCTTGGGAACCCTATTAAAATGCCTTTTTTGTGATTTTCGGTCTTCTAATTATTGTGGTTTTAAGTGTCTAGCGGGCGAACGCGATGTCGCAGGACAACCGTTTTTGCACTAAATTGTAAATTTTAGGTATTAAAATTGTTTCAATTCACATACTTTCGGTTATTTACAGCACATAATTTGGGTACTAAAATATTGGGAGTCGCGTTGTTGTTTTTAATTTACGAACATAGATTGTTGTCCCTCCAACTGTGGGTCGGTTATCAATTGTCGTTCCTGTTTAGTCCGGCTTAGTTGTTCGTGCGCCGTGGTGTGGTGTGCACGTGTTTTGTTCATTAATCAAATTTTGTGACAATTGTTTGCGTTACTAAAGATTTTAATTCTGCAATTGAATTAGAATAGGGCGGCATTTAGCAATAATGGTGATTGTTTGTAGGCCGTGTGTGGTGGCCGTCGGATAAGTATGCACGCTGCTGTGTTTATCAATCGATTAATTTTTGGTTCACCAGTGCGCGCGTTTCCGTTAGCAATCAGTCAGTTATCGTTTCGCACATAAGAATAACATGGATTTATAATTAATTACTGCAAATGGACAACTTTAATGCACAGGACAAAAAGTTTGAGAGTGGAGTTTATGATATCTATAACTGAAGTGTTGGAGATGCGTGTAATTTAAGGCAAGTTTTGACTACTCCCGAATTTACTAGCTGTAGATATTTTTTTATTTAAAAAAATGTATCTATTATTATTGTTGTCAATAAAACACAATGTAAAATTATAATCTCATTCATATTTCTTTGTGGTATCCTCTCCGTCGTTTTCAGTATTGACGTTTTAAGTAATATTGCGTATAAATTTTATGCGCGTGGAGCGAGTGCAACATAGTTGAGATGTGTTGTTGTTTTTAAAAGTGGAGTGAAGTAGAAACATAAGTAGAAGAATCAAATATTAAGAACAAAAACACTCGGTGGTCGAGTGGGTACGTGCACCTGCTAGCATGCTAGTAGGCACGGATCGAATCTCAGATATAGAAGGAATTTTTCTCAAATATAAAAATAACAGGTGTAATTTGGGTTGCATATATGAATTGCAACGAAATATAAGAGAAGTTGCAATTCAAGGGAGGCAATGAGAGAAGTAAGAAAGTAAGTGGAGAAACGGAGAACGGAGAAATAGAAGGAGTAGAGAACAGAGGAGGAGGAGATGATAGAGGGAAGAGAACAGAATAGAGAAAAGGAGGAGATACAAGAAAGAGCAACAGGAGTGGATGAAATTTTTAAATTTTTTGGCACGTGTCGTTATAAGACAGTCTACGGTCGATCTCCCACTACTTCGATGCCTCCATTGCTCCCGGCCCATCCTACAGCTACGATGTCTCTACGCTTCATCCCCAGGATTCTTAGGCATATCAACAATTTTTATGGTGGGGGATCATCCCCCGAGTGGGAGAACTCCTTATAAGGACATTCCTTATAACGTCTTGTTCAAATATTTCTAAGTTTTAAGTCGTCTCAAGAGAGGTGACACTTAAAAATATTCTTACAAGTTCTGACCTGTAGCTGAAATGAAAGATGGAGGACACAAATCATACAGGATACCTTAACAATTTTTATAGTGGGGATCATCCCCTGAGAGAGGGAACTCTCTTAGAGACCTGTACCTGAAATGATAGAAGGGGTACATTCAAAGCATAAGACATAATATTTCTTAACATTTCTTTATTAATAAATTCAATGTAACATAATACAAGTTTAGATTTTACAAGTCAACAGAATTCATGCAGCCATATTGACACAGAACTTAGGACCTGCATCGTCGCGCACATATAAGCATGTAACACGTCAAAATGATCTACCGGGATAAAGAAATCAGCAAATTGCCCATTTTCTAGGTGATGGAAAATGGAAACAAATATACAGGGTGTTACAGAATGAAAATTCAAAATTCAAGAAGTTAAATTCTAATTACAGTCAAAGCAAAATTTTCAGGGATGTGAAGAAAAACGATTATACAAGGTGTAACAAATAAAAAATTCAATCTTCCAAGAAGAAAACCACTAAACACTACAAATATTGCTCGTTTTCACCCGATGCGCCGGAAACTAATGAACAGGGTGTTACAAAAAAATAGAGTGCCAAAAGAAAGCTCTAAAACCACTGCTGAAGGAAAAGTTTCACGGACACAAAGAAAAGCGAATATACAGAGTGTTCCAGATAGAAAATCCCAAGTTTAAAACAAAGAACACTCAAAACTCACAAATAAAAACGATTTACTACGTACTGTACTGTACTGAAAACTAATATACAGGGTGTTACAAGAGGAAAATTTTCAAAACTCGAAATATGGTCCATACTCACATCATGACGAGAGAAATTTATGCAGAAACAACTATATTTTAACATAAATTCAAAGATTTTACCCGAAAATCATGAGAAAAGTTGAGTAAAAAAGATGCTACAAGAATAAAACAATTACATTTTAATATATTGTGTATACATTTATCATTTGATGATAGCATCAACTGCATAAGGTAACCGGCGGGTGAGGCATTAGCATAAATTGATAGAACATCCGGCGGATAACATCCAAACCAGCAAGCGACGGCGCGTGGTAATACAGTAGGTAAGCTAAATACGATAAAAATAACTAGTTACTTGTAAATATTAAGTAACTATGGAGACTATGATAGCGAAAAACTATTCAATGTACATGACTTTATTAAATCAACAAGAAACTTTTTAATTTAATGATGCTAAGGAGTGTAATTCGATGAAAAACGTTCAGTGAAAAGAGAACCGAGCCGTGGTCGACCACATGAATATTGTCATTTTAATAATTTTCAGATATTTTTTTAGAACAATGTAATAATTAAATCATTCTTATTATTTTCGGAAACAAGGCTATGAATTCAGATAAAAAATGCTACCACGTGTTTGTAATTTGCAAAATTAATATCCCTCATTTGGAATATAATAATCAATTTAATATAAACCGCGAAAAAATTAATTACACACATACCAGTGCAATGATGAAAAGATTTTAGATCCAGGAATATAACTTATTAACTGAAAACTCGTGCGGAGATCAACAGGCACTTATTTCTTACTTAAGAACACTCCATCCGCCACAACTCATCAAACAAAACAGCCACACATGCTCGTTTCGAATATTTTGCTGATGACGACAAGAAACACGACCATTAATTGAATAATTGAAGTCTGAAAATGCGTGGCTGGTAGTGAGAAGCGCTCGCGGACCACGCGGTTAAACGACTGCCGTGTGCGCTGCGCGTTGCCAGGTACAAGGCAGGTACGTCGCGATAATACACGTCAGCCGAACAAAAAAGTTGTTTATAACAAACGTAGTAGTAAACACGTACTTGAGAAGACGAAAGTAAAAATTTACACTATTGAAGTAACACACACACACGAAATCAACTTTTACTTTCAATATATCTCGACATAAGAAAAGAATATATTGGTTTAGAGATGCAATAAGGATGATGTAATGTACCAATACAAATAAAAAAAATTCTTGTCTTCTAGTTGTCTTCATATAAGTTTACTGTATACTTTAGTTAATTAAATAATTGATGTTCACAACATCGTGACTAATTTAAATATTCTCTATAAAATAAAGTATTAAAATCGGAAAAATAAAAAGGTACGACCACTTTTTTTTAGTTTTTTTTCAATTCCGAATAGCACAATAGCCCGGAACCCGAGCCACTTCTACCGCTACCTTCGTACGGTGCCCTGAACTCGAGTCACTTCTACCGATACCTTCGTAGGGTGCCCTGAACACGAGTCACTTTTACCGCTGCGCTTGTACCGCGCCCCGAACACGAGTCACTTCTACCGCAGCCCTTGTACGGTGCCCTGAATACGAGTTACTACTACCGCTGCCCTTGTACGGTGCCCTGAACTCGAGTCACTTCTACCGCTACCATCGTAGGGTGCCCTGAACACGAGTCATTTCTATCGCCACCCTGCTAGGGTACATTGAATGAGACTAAACTAAATCAACAAAAAAAAAATAACAAAACCCTTCTTGCGCTATCATAATCGGATAAAAAATTTGAACATTTCACAAAGGTATTCCGCAATATGATTCGTTTTCGCGGGCTATTACAACACGTAGGTGAAATGTGATAAAACATTTATCCGAATAATATAACTTAATTATAAACTTACCAGTGCTGCGCTCATCGGTTTGCAAGGATACGGCAAGTACTGTAATTAAAAGAAAACAGAAGTAAAACAAAAACAGTTCATACAATATGATAATATTATAATCACACATGGGAGAAAACAAACTTTGTATGCTGAGTATCGCAATGGTCAGATAAAAGTAACTTACTCAAGCACGAATAGGTTTCCGATTGATCTAGCGACCGACCACGTTCCACAATAACCGAAATATTTGATTTGAAATATAAACATCAAAAGCAAACAAAAAAGACATTCATGCACATTAAATGTACAATTATTTATTAATAAACCACTGCAGATGCATATTACGACTAAGTCGATTGATGACCGAATATACTCGTAATGCAAACTTTGAAAATATACGTCTAGATACGCCAGACATCGGCACAAAACTAGCTGCAGTTCACCAATAGAGCATACCAAAACTGCGCTCGCAAGGATGCGACAGTTCACACTAAGACTCTGTGCCTGCTGCATAAGGCAGGTAAAAGCAATAGATGCGCAAAGCCAGCGCGTGGATACCACGCGACCTTATGCGCAAATTGGAATAGATGCGCAAAGCCGGCGGCGCGTCGATGGCACGCAACCTTGTGCACGAATTGCAATAGATACGGTACCTGTGATAAGAACTAAACTAAAATGTGCTGCATGCGACAGCGCGACGAGAATCTTACGCGTAGCATTTCGCACGGTGAATGCGATAAGAAAGTTGTTTATAAACAAACGCTGATATGATTCAAAACGAATACAATTCTATTTTATGATTCGTAGTTCATGCTGGTGAATTAAAATTTAAATCATAAAATTATTAATGCTTATTGTTTCAGTTTTATTGAAACATTTATTGAAGCAATGACTTCCGCAAAAGATATCAATTTTCTAATTGCAAGAAATCTGGAAAACTGATGCTATAAATGATAATAAATTTTACTTACCAGTGAATCGAACACCGCAAATCAAATGTGAGTAGATACTGAAATAAAGAAGAAACAAAACATTAGTTACACAATTTCGGACAATGAATACCGGCGGAACTCAAAGTTTACCATAAATTTCGTCTTCTTCTCCATAATTATTTAAATTAGGTTTCGTACCAGATAATACATTGAGCCAACGAGTTGTACAGAAGTCAAAAATGGTTCGCACAAGTCCTAAATATTATTTATAATCACACACAAAATCTGCCGGCCGGCGTCCGACGACAACCGATCAGAAATCCACGCGAAAATGTAATTAACACACAAAATATTGAATTCCGAAGATTACATACGCAATAAATATTTACCGATTGACCAAACACGGCAATTAACACTAATTTCAATAAAATATTACGCGATATACCAAATTTACAATCGAGAAACACGAATACTAGACGGAGTATGCTTGCTGCCGCACGAAGTAAGAGCTGCGTGCCGGCTTCACAACTGTGCACGTCGACTTTCACTCTCAGGAATATTTTTAGTTAAAACATGCATCGTTGCGCTACCTGTGAATACTTTATTGTACTTCCAGGAAATACCAAGCGTTTCAAAAAGTGTGGCGTACATATGAGGCAGTGAGCGATTGCCTTTGCATCAGTGAGTGGTCACGCGCTTAAGTGGCCGTGTCCGTGTATCACCCTATCTAAACAAATACCAATTTTTACACATAACTCAAAACTTCAAATATAGAAGTCAATAGAACACACTTATTCCAAATAAATTAATTTAATTATATTATTATTATTATTTTTATTATTATATTATTCATTGATTGTGTTTAACGACAATTTTCGAATATCTTCTACGACCAAAAAATTTTAACTAAAAAATTCGAAGAAAAAATTTTAAGTAAAAAAGTTTGAGCCTGTTTTTCGACCGATAAAATTTTAACAAAAAAATTCGTCCGAAAAAAGTTTACCAAAAAATTCGACCGAAAAAAAGTTTACAAAAAAATGCGACCGAAAAAATTTTATCAACAAAATTTGACGGAAAAAAGTTTACAAAATAATTTGACCGAAAAAAGTTTACAACAAAATTCGACCGAAAAGTTTTTAACAAAAAAATTCGACAGAAAAATTTTAAGTAAAAAAATTTGTCTGTGTTTTTCGACTGAAAAATTTTTTTAGAAAAAAAAATCGACCGAAGAAATATTGACTAAAAAATTGGACCGAAAAAAAGTTTATAAAAAAAATCGAGCGAAAAGATTTTAACAAAAAAATTCGACAGGAAAATTTTAAAGAAAAAAGTTCGACCCTGTTATTTGATCGAAAATAATTTAGAAACGTTTTGACACGGTTTTTCGAGCAAAAAATGATAAATATTGGAGTGAAACAGCAATTTTTGAACCTAATTTCAGGGCACTTCTGGACAAGTTAAAGGATTGAAAGGGTCTGCATGGTGTAGATAAACTCTCGAACTCTAATATGACAGTAAGAAACTTCAGGAAAATCAGTTCAAGAAATACAAGGCGTTTTCCACACCATGTTTTTAACATTTCAAAATATTGCTAAAATTTGAAGGGCATTTTAGGGCACTTCCAAAAGGTTTAGAACATTAAAATAACATGCATCGTAAAAAGGGTCTTTCGGACTATAATATGGCGTAAAGAAACTTACGAAACAGAATATGTATTAGTTCAGGAGATACAGGGCGTTTTCTACGCCATGTTTTCAAATATTTATTAAATTGTCAAATTTTGATGAGCATTTTGGGGCACTTCTGGAAGGACTGAAAAGTTGTAAGGCATGCACCTTATAGAGACACTCTTTAACTTTATTCTGGAGTAGAAAAACTTCAAGCAAGTCTATTAGTTCACTAGATACCGGGTGTTTTCCACACCCTCTTTTCCAATTCTCCTAAAATTGCTCATTTTTGAAGGGCATTTTTGGGCACTTTTGATAGGGCTTGAAGGTTGGAGAGTATGCATCGTATGGAGGAACTCTCTACCTTTAATTTGACGTGGAGAAACTCTAAAAAAGTCAATTAGTTCACAAAATACAGAGCGTTTCCCGCACTATATTTTCAAATTTTGCTAAAATTGTTTATTTTTGAAGGGTATTTTAGGCCATTTTCAAAAAAGCTGGAAGGTAGGGGGTATGCATCTTGTAAAGGAACTCTCGAGCCCTAACATGACGAAAAGAAAGTCCAAGGAAGTGAAACAATTTACAGATACTGAGCTATAATCTGGATTGCATATGTCGATTCGGTTCAATATAATGCAATACCAGTAGAAGTTACTCTAATAGACGATGCAACATACGAGTAATATAGAAGCAAGGAGAGTTGAGGAGACAAAATTGTAATTATTATACACACATTTTTATAAACTTACAAGTATATCGGGTAATCTCAGGAGGTACTCAAACGAAAAACACATGTTTTAGCAGTCGGACTATGTTGCACACTTATTAAGACTGTTCCTAGTGCTGTTTGACCGGCGATATTTCCGTGAAAGCCCATCGAGGACAGGCGTTAATTGCTAATTCTTTCAGACATTTCCAATACCAATTCCTGGCATTAAAATAATCCAATAATTGTCTGGTCATTAGTCCACAGATAAAAACAAAAGTTTTATAACCATTTCACGCGTAAATCATCGTTTTAAAAACACTGTACACGTCTATTATCATTAACTACCGATATTTATGCCACTTTTTGATCGATAAATTGTAAGGGAGTTTATTTAATCAATATGAATGAAAGAAAGGTGGTCATTCAAATGCAAATAAGAGCAGACTGAAACATTCGATCGTTCTTAGCACGCGCGCAGCATGGATCTGGTTTTTACCCCACCACGAGCTCCGATAAGCGTGTAGAGTTGAAAACAAAACATTCAGATATGTTAGTGTAATGCAAGTTGAAAGTTGCTTAAATTATTTATTATTTATGAGGATGGTGCTAGCGTATTGTATTTTGCGCTATCAAAGTGTACAAAAAAATCAAATACCGGAATATCCGGAATTTAGTACGTCGCGAATGCTGCTTATACACTAGCTCCTATTAATACTATTAGATATATTAATATTTTCAATTAACAGGTTGTCGCGGCGCGTAGTTAGGTCCTCGTTCTAGGATATACATTTTTGATTTTTTGAACACTACTGTGAAGAGATTCACAATCTAGGGTAGGGTAAAAATTTAAAAAAAAAAGTTTCTTTCGTGTTATTTTATCAATAAAATCAGTGCAGATTAAAAACTCCCCCATATATAATGCATTTATAAGTTAAAATGTTACACGAAATTGTCACCACAACCCAAGTATTCTTGTGTATCATATTGACTTCGGCACCGGTAATTACCACTAAAATAAACATAGTGCAAGTGATTCAAAAGTATTAAATATTCACATATTTTTATTTAATACTTACGCAGGTCCGTAGTTGCATGTGTATAGTTTGACATACGGCGTGTCCCAGTACTGGATATCTGTGTACATGATAAAGTCACATCCGACACTGTTTGTATCAGACCAAACAAGCTGAATACAATAGTTGGCAATTAAAACAGAATGTCAGGATTAAATTAATGTACTTGCCTGTGTATACTTGTATAGTACGCAGTGTTCCAAGAGTATTTCTGACCGTAAGTGTAATCATTATGTTCATTGAACCAGGCTTTAATTGCAGCCTCCCAGTTTTGTGTTGGATCCTCTGTGCTACTGTATTCAATATAAAGGTTTTGTCCTACGTGATGCCAACGATCTAAAAAATTTAAAAGCAAACAAATTAAAGTTTTTAAATAAAATAATTACAGGAGTCACCATCGGTAATTTTCACACGTTTTATTTTGCATTGTAAAGAAACTGCACGCCCCTTCTCAGCTAGTACATCATCGTACTTCTAATAATTCAATAAACATTTTTAAATATTATTAAATAACGATATCAATAATACGAATACCATTTTGAGTAAATTTGTGCCCTTTGGTTGATTCGGTACTTCTCCGTAGGCAATCATACGACGATATTTGTTATGTTCGTCAACAATAATTCTCTCCTGAATCGGGTCTATTCCAAGTCTTCTTCTTCTCTACTTCAAATATAGCACCTGCAATGATGGCACACACAACGAAAGTAAAATGCATGGTTACTGTTTAAACAAGAACCACATTAACATTAAGTTTGATTCAAAGAAGTCTCACTTATATACTGAATAATATCTGATAACATATTCGTGCCAATTGTATATTATTTTATGCTTCTAACATGAAATCACAAGTTTAATATTGTTTATCAAACGATTTGCTATTTTGAATATCTGAACAATGGCCTGTAATTGTTATCAAATATTTTTGCCACGATTTGTGTCAAAACGTTTACGTTTGGGTATGTATAAAAATGGTTTGTGATTCATACACCAAAGACAAAGATAAGAAGTTTGGTTCAGTCTTTGTACTATTTACCTGACAGTTAAAAGGAAACAAAAAATAACGCAAATTTACTTCGTACATCTTATTATATACAAATTTTTAGTATCAATAGAATTTCAGTTCATTTTTAGAAAGACAATTTTAAATTTTCTTTGTTCTATAAAATTTTAACAATATTAAACATTATTTTGATTTGTTCGAAATGTAATGTGTAAGGTTTATAAGTTTAAATTCTTAAGCATATAAAATTAATAAATCTATTTAACAGTTATTCAGATTATAGGTACATTTTGATTAGATTCAATTTTTGATCGATTTCGATATTTATTCGTTCAATAGATTTTTTTAAGTTGATATCGTGGATGTTTTTTTGTGAAGCAAACAAAGTGAGAAACATTATTTACAAAAGTAAAGCCAAAAGAATCGCTTTTTAAAATTTTAAAGCGTCTAAACAATTACTTCATTAAATAAGGCTCTTAAAACAAACTAATAAGCAGCGGAATGTATCGATTATGGACTCGGAGCATCAATCGACTATGACTATACAATTCATAACCTCAAAAATATTTTTTTGTCTTTTATTTCATTTAAAGCACTCTTTTTGTTGCTATTTTCTGTGTTAGTGATTCGTTAAATTATCATAAAATATAGTAGAATGTATGCACAGAAGTTTTAAAAAGAATAATATTAGACTTGGTTGCTAGTTGCTGGTGAATTGCGTTTGTTTCAGTTTGAAATCAATCAAAATCAAACAAAACATGATGGTGGCGCCCTCACTTGCCGCTGTAATGGCTGCCAATATGCGATGGTGGGCCACGATGCTTGTACCGACTTCCGGGACGAGAGTGCACGATAGCGTAGTGATCGCTATGCGATGACACCGATCGTGTCGAATTCATTGTTGATCCACCGGAAGTGTAACCTTTTGGATGTTGGGGTGCACCGTTCAATGAATATCTATTAACATAAATATTATCAAATATATATTAATAACTTCAAAGTTAAATTTACCTAGATCCATATTGACTTCCATGCCAAGATCGATAAGGATCGTAGTCTTCAATGATGCTCGGCTCCTTCTCGATAATTTCAGTACGTGCGCATGCGCATGTCATCGCCGAACACAAGAATATATTTATAATCAACATAATAAGGAAGAGAATACCCAACGCAACGCACAACCAGAGCAGCCATGATGGATGCACACTACCATCATCACACAGCTCTTGTACAAGTGGTGCCTCGCCAGGATCCAAGACAAACACACTAGTAGCCGCCATTAAGACACCTTCGTCTGTTACCAACGCCTTAGTTTGTCCGCCACCGTCAGAACAATTTGGGTCTGGGCAAGAGCCTTTACACAAACCAACATCACACTAAAACAAAACACTATTAAGTAAATACTTTTATTAAAAAAATTGGTTCTGTTCCTACCTGGAAATGAACTTCGGAACTTTCGGGAAACCGAAACATTGATTGTAGCTGAGCGTCGGCAATGCTGCGTTTGTCATCATATGTAAAACCCTTGATAACGTTGGGATTGACGGGACATCCGCGTTCATCGATTAGCGGTACACTGCTGTTGAGCTTGTTGAACGCAAAGCATGATTTAACCCGGAAGCCATAAGTCCCATCTGGGCGAGAGATCTCTGCACGCAGCGTATAGGGGCGGCTGTATACCGCTTGCGTGATTTTTCTACCACCATCCAACAGGCGTAATGACACTAACGATGTCTCATTTCGTGCGTTACGGAATCCTGCTTTGCCGCAAGTGATTACATAGAACTTATCATCTGCAAGTTCTAATGTTCGGTGGATTCGTACAGCGATCGGTACTGAACGTTCTTCGGTTTTCTATAAAACAAAAATATTTTGTTAATTTTATGTATAGAAGGTTTTTTTTTTTCATGTAATAATAAATTTGTCCGCCATCTTTTTTCGTTTTATTGTAGTGTGTTCGAGTGTGTCGTCGAAAAACTCACATTTTTACTGGAAAACTATAAAAGCATCATTAACGTCAAATCGCCGTGCGGGTAGCGAAATAAAACGGAAAATCTACGGCGAGTAAAAGTAAAAGCAATCGCAAGAAAAGCAACACAAAATACGATAAAGCCACACGTGCATATAGAGTTGAGGTTATGTCTAGTATCGTGTGCGTGGTGTTGTAACGCGCATTAACGTCGTCAAGATTGCGTTCCGACAATAACAATAAAAGCTTCAAGCGTTTGTCGTGTGTTGTCTGTGTTTATTTGTTCAAACCAACATGTAGCGCCGGAGTATCAAAAAACAAAATGGCGATGTGCTTTTGTTTACACATGTTTGATTTGTTTTTTGTTAGACTTTCATCTGTCGACTGCAGCTGTTCGGTTTTGTTCTCTTCGGACGAACGCGGAAGAATAATCGAAACGCATATTAATGTCTCTATTGTTGCGCGTTGTGCTACAAACGTAACAACAAAACATTTGCTTAAACAAATGTGTTTTGCCTGTTCGCAAATAGATGTCGTTAGTGAGGCAAAAGATGTCAGCATACTGTGTAGCCATTTTGTGGCAAATGAAGCGGAAAGAATGCAACACCGTGCGAAGAAAAGTGGAAGCGCTGAGCATTACAACAGGAGAATGATTATTATTGATAGCGATGCACCGTTTGATGGGCATTCACGATGCACGTGCGCACAAAGCGGGGTTATTTAGTATTTGCGTTGTTTACAGTATGCATGCGGCGAGCACTGCGAGTTCTCGCACGTCCGTCCGTCAAACGGAATTCGTTCTCGGTGAGTAGCAACTGTACTTTTTGCATTTTTTAGTGCGGCCATTACTTTTACTACCTGATAAACAGTTAGTTAGCCAGGTTAAACCTAGTAACAGAACTAGACTCAAAAATACACTTGTGGTTAGGGCAAAAATGTGTATTGTGTTGCCTAGATTTACAGACAATTCAAATCAAAATTCTTTTGTTATTGCGTATTTTATTTGTTTCTTTTTATTGCGATGAATTCTAAATCTCCTACGTGACAAGAATTAATTTAGATAGCTTAAAATGAGTATATCTGCGCGTGCGCACGTTCATCGATTTAAGTATTTTGCTTCTAAACCACGCGGAGCTAAGCCGAAGAGCCCATAAAAGGTCAAACGCTTGGGCAAACGCTACGGCATCGTTTCGTCGAGGTGAGGTCACGTCCTCGACAGCACGGCTACTCGCCCATCATTGATTCTACACTTCTACAAGTGACAATATAAATAAATTTCCAACAAAAACGAGAACATTCAGGACAAATGAAGACTCGAAAAAATCTTTAATGATCATTAAGGCTAAGCATGAAACTCGTGATGGCTTAATGCATCTTAAACTTAACCTCAATTGTGCACTAGTAATGTGGTTGTGTTCAATGTACAAAGATAGCGACAATGGGTTTTCTTACGTTGTTGACGAGTAATCCACAATAATCAGGAGCGGAGTGCGCCGCCAGCAGGTTGATGTCGAGAGCAATCTGGCGGCCGCCGTCTCCGTGCGTCATGCACGCAGGCGTGCGGTAGTCGCGGGCGTGCACCGCCCCGTAGAAGCTGCCATTGAAGGCCACCTTGATGCTCATATGTCCCGCCTTGCATGTTGCCGTCACCTGTGGCACAAACTCTGTGTCGACCAGTTGACATAGCACCTGAAAAATATTAAAAACAATTAAAAACCATATTTTCATTTCTCAATACATCTATTTTCAATAGAAGGCAAAAGTGACTTGAGAAATAACTTTTACTTGTATTGTTTAATGATTAGTTGAAGAATTGAAGAAATACGATATACGAAGGTCGCTTCAGGCGCCCCCGACGCAATTTGCGACGAGTGCGACTCGCGATGGTGCTCGCGAACTCTTTTGAGATATTTATTGTAATTTGTTTGCTGATTTATGCGCGATACAAACTGAGCCACACATAAACACATTGCACCAAAACAGGTACGTACTAATAGTTCAATACCATCAATCTTTACACTACTATAAACGTTTTTTCTGAAATAATTTTGTACGATCCGGCCCTGTACACTTAGTAAATGCACGAGCACGCATGCAGAAAATGGACACACGCATAAACGCTTATAAGCATAAACCCAAACGCAAGATGCAATTTCGCACTCTTGAAAAGCGCAACAACCAACAAGTGTGTAACTCGTGTGGTCATCCTTTTCGAAACGAGGACGTCCTTAAGATACACTTTTAATAAGGACATACCGAGAGGTCGTAAATACCAGCATGCATCGACGTATTCAATTTTCAATGTAAAGAATAGCTGCAGAAATAAAAAGTGTAAAATTATTAAATAGAAATATCTGCATAACCATTCTGTATTGTTCAATAGTACATAAGTCTATAAATAAAAAAATATTTGTAAAATTAATCATTTTAATTTAACGGTATCTAAATCTTAAAACCAAAGAACAAGGTCATATCAAAAGTGCAGATTGCAGAGAATAAAGAATTTATTTCGAAATAAACGCCAACTAAAGAGTTGAGAAGACCGCTAAAGCTAAAATTGTAAAGAATTATCTCCTGCAGACATCTAAGTCTGCTTATTCTGCCAAGACCAAAGACTGAAGAATGAAGACAAACGAATGAGAATGAGTAGATAATCCTTTGAGGACTCTTTGAGATTATACGCGAAGGTGACACAGACTATTATTCAGCATCAATAAAGAACTAGATTAGAATCGAAACTATTTGTTAAATATAGTACCTTAAACTATTTCTTTTATATTACGATATATTACGGTCCTGCATAATTATTGAAACTTGTTTTATTTCATTTGTTAATCACTGAGGTATTATATTATTTTATATTCTGTACTAGTTTAGACATTTGGTTAGGTTTAATATGAAAAGTTGTTAAATTACGTAGGCACGCAACCAGATGTACGTACGTGTCACGTAACAGACAACCCACACATGCTGCCTCGATTCAAGTATTTAAACGTGTTTATAATGCGATCGAATGTGATATAACAGCGTAAACGCCATAAAAGACAAAAACCGAAGCCAGATATTCACATTCACGCACATATCGCACCACGCGAATTCCCAATCACGTACACAGGCCCGTCCTAAAACTCATTCGCAGCTGTTTTTTTATGAAATGTTTAATTATAGCGAAAATTACAAAGGTGTGGTTTATGGCATCCAGTTATTTATTTTTTCTACATCAATTTAATATTCTGATATATCAGACTTGGTGGTAGTTTCGTCATAGCTCATACCTTAATAGCATTAACGTCAAGTCGAAGCCGGACGTTTTTTTTCACGTCCTCCATATTATTACTTCTTGTTATACTTCGACGTTTTCTTGTCGTTTTCTCTGCGCGCCGTTTATCCGCTGCAGATATCTCGCGACTTATCTTGTTTTATTGCATTCGCTTGTTCGCCGCGCGACGTTCACTTTCGATTCCACTTGCGAGTCCATCGGCTGCTTTGCGTTTCGCTTTCGGGCCGCGTTCGAGTTTAATAATTGGTATATCGACGCGATAAATTAACCAGGAATAAAAAAGAAACAAAATCAGCGACGAGAAAATGATGAAATCGACAACTGGTTGGCATAACGTGCGATATTGCTAAAATTACTACTGAAATTTAAAAAAGCTGCGTTCAAGCTTTAAGCCCGTTAGATGTCTCTACTTTGATTATAAATCCATTAAAACCATTTCCTTTTATTATTTTGTGTTATAATCTTATTTAATTACTATAATACAGTCGTTATCTATTTTATATATTCACAAAACATGATTTTGTACTCGGCGCACGTTTTAATTATTGCTCATATCGTAGATGAAACAATGCATGACCGTATTTAACATGATTTAATGTTTTCGCCGCGTACGTTCATAATAATTACGCGGCGTAAAACCGCTAATAACAAAAAAAATCCCTCCGTCCCTTCACAGCGACTAATTGAAGTGTGCGCGGTGCATTACTCGTCTGTAGATTCACTCACACGCATCAGCTAGTTGTAATCAAAAATGGCGAACGCTTACGATCATCGCTACCATAGTACATGTATGCTTGGTTGCATATATGCCTGATTTATACGCTCATACTCGCACTGACCAACAATTAATTATGATACAGTAATTCGTAATTCTACGGCCGTGTTTAAAGCGTGTGCGCATCATGCGCACACATGTTAATTAATGACTATGAACTTAAAATGCACAGAATTAAATTTTGTGCATCATGCAGAATGAAAAAATGTATGCGATTAAAAATGCGGAAGTAAATTTGCAAATTCGAAATGGCGATGCACTGATCTTGACCGAGCAGAAAAAATTGCACTGCAACTATGTTACGGTTGTTATTTTTCTTGCTCTTCAAGATCGACTGATTGCTAATTATTGCACACGAGTACTAATATGCAAGGTAAGCACATTTATGCAAAACACTGACCATTAGACACTAATTAAATTATGATAATTTCAAACAATATTTAAATGATGTACATCATTATTAACTTAATAAGTATTTCCAAAATAAACGTTTTTTGTTTGTTTTTATGTTTTGTACCATAGATTTAATTGAATACGTTGAACACTTGCAAAATTGAATTATGCGTATGTCATCTCTGCCGTCGTAAATCATGCGCAGCCGTCGCGAGCCAGTAACATCATTATTATTAAATTTAATTGTGCGTTTAGAGATAAAGACAACAAGTGCGGTCTGTTGGCCGTCTATCTGTAATTGAAGTAATAAATAACTCAATTAGATTTCTCGATACACGAATACAGCCAACCACTAGACCGCAGGTAATGCCATCGACAGAAAACTACGTACAAAAAAAGTAAAAGAAATTAAAATGAAGCCGACAACAACAACGACAACGAAATTAAATGAAATTACATCTCTTCCATGTAATTTATTGTGCAAGGATTTAAATGTCTTGCCTTCAAAGTAATCTATTTTTATTATAGGCAACTCAACGTGCACAATGCGCTATTCTAATTATTCATCTGCTGGAAACAATTACAATGGAATGTCACGTGTTGTTTATGTAAATATTCGCCAAGAGTCATTTGTTCGTAGAAACCACATTCATATTCATACATCCATAGAATGGCTGCAGGCATGCAGGCCTGCAGGACGACTGATGACTCAAGAAAAACACTTCGCACAAAAAATGCGTTAAATGTTGCGTAATAGTTTGGCGAGCAAATGATGCCCACACCTTTTGCAGACACTTTTAAGTAGGTACATAGTCGACCATGATGATGACTGAAATGGCCAGATGCGCCACGCGATCGTTAAATGATTAAACATTTCAATATTTAAATATTTAAATATTGTAAATATTTTAAACACACGTTGCAGTTTCCGCAACCGTTAATTTTTTTGTTGCATTCATTTTTGCATACGCTTTGCACGCATCGTCTTGGCTTTCAGTTATTTTTTTTCTGGACGTTGAGCAATAATTTCCTCTGGTAAAGGTTATGATTAAAATATTAGTCACGCCCTCTACCCGTCACAACATAATGATGCATTTAAGTAGAAAAAGTTGCATAACTTTCCTATTTTCTTGTACAGTGTCATTAAAACAAATAAAAAATGCGTTTTGTTTTATTTGTTGCTGATTTAAACAAACAAAAACTCAATAAAGTGCATTGCACCTGATATTTTGAGTTATGCGTGCTTGAAAAGTAAAAGTGATGAGTTTCATGACACTGCGCGACACAGCCGCTCGCAATTGTTGGTAATAATCATTACAACAATTACTACGATCAGCTAGAGTCAACCGCCATCATTATTACTTCATTTGGTTACATTTCATTTCACTTCGTTTGTGGACTTTAAAAATTGCTGATTTTACGGCTGTTACGAAGTGAAGTCGTAATTTATTGCATAATTATTGGCTTTGTTTCATTGATTTCGATGTCAACAACCAACTAACCAAACATCGAAAGTAAAAACCGTCGTTTTTTTTTCACTGTAATAAAATGGTTGATGATGATGTTCATGTTATGACATACTTTTCACAATTTTCACAGTAAATCCAAGAAAAATAAAAACGAAAACATTAACTTATGACTTCAACCAGACGTCTGTGTTAACGCAAACAAAAGATCAAAATTCTCATCATTATCATTACGCGTCAGCGATTAAATATTTTCATCGCGTTGTGCTCCACTTTGTTTTCGAATATTTTTCGCACATCATAGAAAGTTGTGCATAGTTTTCTCGACAGGTGAGCAATAATTTTAATTTCAGTTGTTTTGTAATAATTAATCGTAAAGCAACATGTTTAAAATGACATGTTACATAAGCTACTGTCATTAATATCACCTCAAATGTAGATTATTTTTAATTTAAATTTAAATTTGTGATTTATGAAGATCTTTAAACCTTAGTTGTATAATACGCAATTATTCTAAGAAGTAATTTATGCAATTATTATGTTGTTCGTGGTTTGCATTGCATTCGTGGCCTAAAAACAAAAACCGGATGCAATCGCAAATTGCAATATTGCGGTAGGTAAATTTTATTGTTAATTATATAAATAATAATAAAGTCGCTGGTTGTACTGAACGCGGATGTGCATTGTTCATTGCTACAAAGTGCATGGCAAACTCGTGCACACTATCGATTACAACTTTCATTTAACTATAATTTTACTTTTAATTTGTTTCCGA